TTGCTTTCCGTTCCTCCACATGATTTATCACTGTTCCCGCTGCCCCCACCCACATCGTGCGCCACGTTAATACGAAAAATATCTAAATTTTTTTTAATTTTAAATTATATAATAAAAATTAATTACATTTTAAAAGACAAAATATCTAAATTTTTTTTAGGGTTTGTCTATTTTATACGTTAAGGGTACAGAATAATGAGTAATGATTGAATAATAATAATAGTAATTTTTCTTCAAAAAATGTAAAATTTTAAATTAAAAAAATAACTTTTGTTTTTTAATTCAAAATAAACCAATAAAAATTTAATACATGACGTCTACAATTAAAGTGAAAGTCATCTTTTATCACTTTTAAGATAAAAAATTATTATTATTGCTTAATAAAAACTCAATTATTTCTCTTTATTTACAGTATAGATAAATCTTTTTTACCCAGTCTAAAGGTTTAATCCTCAATTTGGTTCCTAAATTATTGTATTAATTTTTGATTTGGTCCCTCAACTAAAAAGATTTTTGATTTGATTCTTGAACTATTGTACGGACTCTCAATTTGGTCCCTAATATTTATCAATATACCCTAAGTTGGTCATTCCATACAAAAATCAATTTACGTGTCTTATTATTAATGTAATACCTGATCGTTAAGTTATTGTTTTTTACTGTTAAATAACATACATATTAATTATTTTTTAACGAAAAAATCAATTTAAAACAAATTGATAAATAATATGGATCAAATTAAGAATCCATAAAATAATTTAAAAATCAAATTAAATATTTTTTAGTTCAAGAAACAAATTGAGGGTTTAACCCACACTAAATTTTCATTTTTCTCAATGATAGGTATAATTAATGCTCTTTTAATAAAAGTTCCAAACACGTGCGTAATTACCTGCAGGTTTTGGAGCTTGGAATCGTTGTTCATTCTGTGGTGATTGGACTCTCCCTTGGTTCCTCAAACAATAAATGCAGCATTAAAGTTCTGGTGGCTGCCCTCTCTTTCCATCAATTTTTCGAAGGAATGGGTCTTGGTGGCAGCATTCTTCAGGTACAATTATTTCTATACATGCCTTTAAATTAGTAATTTCGAATGAAAAATGTACAATTTTGTTCTAACCCTTAACTAATCCTGGAATTTAAGATGAAATTAATTAACTTCATTATTTGAAATTTATAGGCAGAATACACATTGATTAAGAGGATTGTGATGGTATTCTTCTTTTCCGTGACTACTCCATCTGGCATTGCACTTGGAATTGCGCTGTCCAAAGCGTATAAAGAGAACAGCCCGGCGGCTCTGATCACGGTGGGGCTGCTGAATGCGTCGTCGGCCGGGCTGCTGATCTACATGGCTCTGGTTGATCTTCTGGCGGCGGATTTCATGGGTCCCAAGTTGCAGGGTAGCATTAAGCTCCAGATGAAATGCTATATAGCTGCTTTTTTGGGTGCTGGCGGCATGTCTCTCATGGCAAAATGGGCTTGAGACTTGAGATCATTTCATGTTCTTTCTTAGTTATTGTTTAGTTTGAGGGAACGGAGGGAGAGGAAGGAGAAGAGAAGAAAAACAATATCTTTCTATCTCCATTCCCTTCCTTTTTCATTTTTTTCTTGAACTGAAGTTAAAATCCCTTTTTCTTGTTTTGATACACCATCAAATCAAATAAAATATAAATCTTTATTATGATTATCTTAATTTCTTTGAATATTAATAATGAGAGAGTTAAAAATCGCTACTAAATGTTTTTCAATGGTTATAACTAAATTTTCAAGTCTTCATTGATTTTATTTCTTAAATCCCATATGGTTAAAAAAATAAAAAAAGGTCTCTCATTCACATTTTGAAATTCGAACTTAACTTTAAAATTAAATTTTTATAATTAATAAATATTAATTAGACTAATTTCTTATTGATAAAACGACCCATTCTCGTCAAATTTAGAGAAATTGAAAAAAAAAATATATATATATATATATATCAACTTTTCCAAAATTGAACTTATGAACCCTATGAACTTTCATGTTCTGCATTCTCTGTTTGCCTCTTTCAAAATCTCCATGTTCAAAATAATAAAATAAAATATAAAAATTTGAGAGCAGAGACCACTGAGCTTTCTTGAGTTTCTGGGCTCTTTACAAAACAATTCATTCATTTGGGTTGCCAAGACACCTGTTGAGTGTTGACCCAAAAAATTAGCTAAAAACATAAAACATGAATAGAAGAGAGAAGGGGAGAGGGAAAAAAAAATGTGTTTCTAAACCCGAAAATTGCCGATCATTAATTTAATATCTGAATTTTTTTTTGTCAATCATTTAATCTCTATACCACATTTTGTACACCTGGATATATATTAGAACACTAAGCTTTCTCTCCCCCCACAACAAGTGCACCTCTCCCTTTTAATTTATTATTTACTGTTTACTTTTCACCCAAAATCTCTAACACTTAATAGAATAATTTCTCCTTCCCTTCAGTGCCACGAATTTTTGGCTCCCTTTGTTAGACTCGTCTCCATCATATCCCTGCACTCATATGTACTATTTCTTTATTGCCATTTGTTCTAACTAAACCACCACCCATAAATTGCATTATTCTCAACAACTAAACCACCAACCATAACTGCACTCACTTAAATTCTTCGGTGAAGCACAAAAGGTAATGCTTCTTCTCAACGTGAATAATTTGTCTTTGATCAATTAAATTATTAATGTAAATTTAATTTATTGAATATAAGTTAGTCTATCAATCATGTATTGACCATATAACATTGGAGAAAAAAAATTGTCTCTCTCCATAATAAAGTACAGAAAAGAAAGACTCAACCAAAAAAGTGTTCACAGTCTATTTTATACAATCTGCAAAACGAACAAATTGATGTGTGAGGTACCAAAATATATATAAAGATAATTCTCTATTTTTGAATGAGATTTGCAGTCCTGTGTGCACGCTAACAAAAAGTGGATCAATGAGTCCAAACAAGGTATCGGCATCCAACAGTGCAAAGGAAAATAATGCTTGGTAGCTGGACTAATCATGCACTTAAGTCAGATAAGCAACAGCACTAATATCCTATTATTGTATCATTTTATTCAAGTCCATATCCAATCTTTACAGCAAAAAGTGGATGGAGTTATATATAAGGTGGGTTCAGATTAGAACCTTAATACTTTAACTACTGGGTCCTACAAAGCTATTTTTAGGCTGGCTAATTTTGACATAACTAATGTAGATTAATTACTACACAAAAAGAAAGCTGGTCAATTAGCAAAGGGTTTGCGAATTGAGTACTTCTTGTACTCTATTCAATCATAAAATTTCTTTGCTTTTCAAAACTAAAGAATCTGCGAATTGAGAGTGCATAATTTGTGCCATGAGCTTTTCCACCCACCTAACAGCGCGAAGGTCAAAAGAACGACAAGCAAGCCCTTGGCATCAATGAATTTTTTTTTTTTAATTGGAAATTAGGAGATAGAAATATTTTCATTTGAAAACATGCATTCCATCTTAGATAATTGTAAAGATTTTGGGTGCATTTAATTATATAGTACTATAGACACATTAATATTAACTAAATTAAAGCTTTAATTTCTTCGAGAGGTCACAAAAGAGAAATACTTTGCCCATTAAGTTTGAAATTTCACAATAAAAGATATCAATTTACTCCCTTTACTTTTATTTTATTTTTTATTTTTAATTTTTGACAAGGTCTCCCTTTACTTTTATTTTTTTGATCTTAAAAAGTTCCACCTTTATTTGAACAGAAAACGCGTATTCTATAATTGAGTTGATTTTTTTATAAGTATTTTTT